ACCTTGAACCCTTCATCCGAGAGAGAACGAGAACCACGGCCTATTTCACCGCATAATATCTCCTCGCCTACGTCGAAAACCGCCGACCCAAACTCGCAAAATTTCCTATCAGTTCCAGGAACACGCTCAAGGGGAAATTCTCTCGACTCTGAAGATGCCAATTCCCCTCGCTCGTTGGGCAGTGAGACATGCGTCCCATCATCGCCATCTACCGGTGAGCATCCTGACAAAGGTGCATCGACAAAGGACGTTGACGTTAGGAATGATCCAAATGCTTTGAAACCTGACCCCAAAACGGAGGACGACTTTGAAGTGGAGAATAACAAATTCGCCTTCTCCCCAGGTCAATTGAACAAGCTCCTCAGCCCAAAGAGTCTTTCTGCTTTCTATGCTCTAGGGGGCCTGGCCGGATTGGAGAAGGGTCTGCGGACCAACCGCTCAACAGGCCTCAGCATCGATGAAACTGTCCTGGATGGCACGGTCTCCTTTGAAGAAGCTACCAGTGCTAGCACTCCAGAACACACTCCCAAGGCATCAGGAAGGACGACAAGCATGAAATATGATGCAGAGGGTGTTTCCAAGAACAATGATAGATTCGTCGACCGCAAACGTGTATTCAGTGATAATCGGCTCCCCGCGAGGAAGACCAAGTCCATCTGGGAGCTAGCTTGGATCGCTTATAACGATAATGTCCTGATTCTTCTTTCCGTCGCCGCCGTCATATCTCTTGCACTAGGTATATATCAGTCCATTACAGCTACTGGAAATGAGGCTAGAGTGCAATGGGTTGAAGGTGTAGCTATCATGGTTGCCATCATCGTCGTTGTCGTTGTCGGAGCAGCAAATGACTGGCAAAAGGAAAGACAATTCGTGAAGCTAAACGAGAAGAAAGAAGATCGCAATGTCAAGGTTATTCGCTCCGGAAAGTCGGTGGAAATCTCGGTTCATGATATCCTCGTGGGAGACGTGATGCACCTTGAACCCGGTGATATGGTGCCGGTCGATGGTATTTTCCTCGAGGGTCACAACGTTAAATGCGATGAATCGTCCGCCACTGGTGAATCTGATGTCCTTCGAAAGACTCCTGGAGATGTTGTCTACCAGGCCATCGAGAACCAGGAACCTCTTGCAAAGCTGGATCCGTTTATCTTGTCTGGTGCTAAGGTATCGGAAGGTGTTGGCACATTTCTAGTCACGTCGACTGGTGTCAACTCTTCCTACGGTAAAACAATGCTCTCCCTGCAGGATGAAGGCCAAACAACTCCTTTGCAACTCAAGCTCAATGTTCTCGCCGAGTACATTGCTAAACTAGGTCTTACAGCTGGTTTAGTCCTGTTTGTGGTTCTATTTATCAAGTTCCTCGTCCATCTGAAAAACATCCAAGGTGCTACTGCCAAGGGACAGGCATTCCTCCAGATCTTTATCATGGCTGTTACTGTTATTGTGGTTGCCGTACCTGAAGGACTGCCCCTGGCCGTTACCCTTGCACTTGCATTCGCGACGACACGAATGTTACGAGATAATAACTTGGTTAGGCTACTTAGAGCTTGCGAGACCATGGGAAATGCCACTACCATCTGCTCAGACAAGACTGGCACTTTGACTCAGAACAAGATGACTGTTGTTGCTGGAACCTTTGGAACTTGGCCCAACTTTGGAGAGAACGGCTCATCTTCTACACAGCAGGATGCGAATGAGAATAATCAATCGTCAGAGACGAACAATGTTGCTCCTGCCGACTGCATCTCATCTTTGTCGCCCTCGGTCAAGGAATTGCTGCTAAACTCAATATCTTTAAACTCCACGGCGTTTGAAAGTGACGAAAATGGAGCAACTACCTTCGTCGGTTCCAAGACCGAGACTGCACTGCTCAGTTTCGCACATGACTATCTGGCACTGGGGTCTTTGAACGAGGCAAGGTCAAATGCAGAGATTGTACAGCTTGTCCCCTTCGACTCCGGCCGAAAGTGCATGGCTGCGGTTATTAAACTTCCAAACGGCAAGTACAGGATGTTGGTCAAGGGTGCCTCCGAAATTCTCATTAAAAAATGCACAAAAATCATTGCAGACCCAACCAGTGAACTCGCCGAAACAGAGCTTCGCGAAGAGGAACGCTCCGGCTTGAGGACTATTGTGGAACAATATGCATCCCGTTCTCTACGAACCATTGGTATCATCTACCGCGATTTCGAACAGTGGCCTCCTCAGGGAGCGCCTACGCAAAGGGAAGACCGCAAGCAAGCTGTATTTGAACGCGTGTTCGAAGACATGGTTTTCCTAGGTGTCGTTGGTATTCAGGATCCTCTTCGCCCTGGCGTTGCCGATTCCGTTCTCCAATGTCAAAAGGCTGGTGTTTTTGTCAGAATGGTAACAGGAGACAATATCATGACGGCAAAGGCAATTGCACAAGAGTGTGGTATCTTTACCCCCGGAGGTCTTGCTATCGAGGGGCCGGTGTTCAGGAAACTCAGCTCGCATCAAATGAATCAAGTGATCCCACGTCTACAAGTCCTAGCTCGATCCAGCCCTGAGGATAAGAGAGTCCTTGTTGCTCAGCTTCGAAAACTAGGTGAAACCGTTGCTGTAACTGGTGACGGAACCAATGATGCACCTGCTCTTAAGGGAGCAGATGTTGGATTCTCCATGGGTATAGCCGGTACAGAGGTGGCTAAAGAGGCGTCTGCTATCATCCTTATGGACGACAATTTCAACTCGATTGTGAAAGCCATCGCCTGGGGTCGAACCGTTAATGATGCTGTGAAGAAATTCCTGCAGTTCCAAATTACGGTCAACATCACTGCAGTTGTACTTACATTTGTCTCTGCTGTGGCCAGTAACGACGAGGAATCCGTATTGACTGCGGTCCAGCTGCTCTGGGTGAACTTAATTATGGACACATTCGCAGCTCTTGCTCTTGCTACCGATCCTCCCACTGATACCATTCTTGACCGCAAGCCAGAACCCAAGTCTTCCCCACTAATCACGCTTACGATGTGGAAAATGATAATCGGCCAATCTATTTACCAGCTCATTGTCACATTTATTCTCAACTTTGCCGGTAAAGACATCCTGAATTTCGGCCATTCCGAGAGGGAAGATCGGGTATTCAAAGCCCTTATCTTCAATACCTTCGTCTGGATGCAAATTTTTAACCAGTACAATTCGCGCAGAATTGACAACAAGGTGAACATCTTTGAAGGTATTCTGAGAAACAGATGGTTTGTCGGCATCCAGTTCATCATCGTGGGTGGGCAAGTCCTCATCATCTTTGTTGGTGGTCAAGCATTTTCAGTCGAGCGTCTCGGTGGAAGGGACTGGGGCATTTCGTTGATCCTCGGACTGCTATCCATACCCGTCGGCATCCTCATTCGCATGGTTCCAGATAGCTTTGTTCGGATGCTCATCCCGAGCTACTTTCGGCGGAAACAGGACAAACCGCAGGTATATATCTCTGATGAGGAACAGCGATATGAGTGGAACCCAGCCCTTGAGGAGATCAGAGACCAGCTCACCTTCCTCAAGAAGGTACGGGGCGGTCGACTAAATATCCTGAAGTACAAGCTCCAACACCCGGAGACTCTCATCCCTCGTTCCCGAAGCAACTCGAAATCCTCCATACCACAAACCCCGCAAGGCGAGGACCATGAGAACGGCAACACGCAGCCACCAACTCCGAGCTCGCGCACCCGGTCTCGCTCCAACTCTGCCTTTGGGCCTGCTGCGGCCATGGCTGGTGTCGTGGCGGGAAGCATAGCAGGCTGGTCGCCCGTTGGCCGATCAACTAGTGAACAGGAATCGATCAAATTCTCAGGCACGGGTCGACACTCTGGGCTTGATCAGCAAGAGGGCATTGAAGTCCACCCAGGCACTAGGGAAGACGATCCCATTTTGACGGATTACTCACATACAAGCAAAGTGCCACCGAGTCAGAATCCAGACCTGACGCCCGAATTCTCTCATACCCGCCCAACAGCCGGAGCATCAACCGAGAGAAGAAGCTGATCTAGCCCTGCCGCCCGGCCGCCCGTCCGAAAGACATAATTCACATAACATAAGCACAACGAGAAATATAACTCAAACATTCTGATTATGCAACTGCATGTTCAACGGCCTTTCATACTACGTGTTCTGTTTCTTTTTCCTCCTGCTGCCCCCTTTTTTGATTCTCTTCTCTCCGAAACAATTGACATGGCATATACCAGCATCAGCAGCAACCACTCAGGTTGGGCCCATAGCATATCAAGCACGTTTTAATATCCCTTTTTTTTTTCCTTTCCTGGACTGTTACAACTTTTCCAAGTTTACCAATCACCTACTTCCTTACTGGGGTATCATCACTATCACTTAACCAAATCCACAACCTCCGGGGGTCCTCCATTTTCTTTCATCTCATCCTATCCTATTCTACTGAATAGCCTCGCTCGGAGTCTCGGGTGAGAGCCAGGCAAAACCACATCGATCGTTTTCAGCATCCCACCCTCCCCCTTACTTGTTTGTTGCTGGTGTTTTAATAAATCTGTGTGGCGTCAGGGCAAGTTTTATCATTCTTTCATCCTCGTGGTATACGTCATTTTGTTCTTCTTTATTCAAACGCCTACCTATACGTCTACGTCTACTTTTATCTTTCTCATGTATATATATCTTTCAATGGCTTAGGGGGACCTACTTATCCTCTGCTTCAATAGTGTGTTCCTGGGGAGGGTGGCTTCAAATATCATATCCTTTCTGGAGCATCTATTTGAATAAAATATAGATGCATTTTGTCTTTCTACTTCAGTCAATAGAGGCAACTTTCTTTGTAGTTTTTATAGTAGAAACTTGGTATCATATGCTTTTATAGCATTGTTTCATCTGTATCATTAAAGTACATTGATTTCATATCAGGCAGCTAGAGAGGCCATATTAAAGGTAAAAACGGCAAAGACACGAAAGTCCTCCTTGATGTCAAGACAGGCAAGGCAAAGTGGAAAGTGTGTATGATGTGATATAAAAAAACACATTCACTCATCCCAGATAGCGGCCTTTGCCTTCTCTTCCTCCTCTCGCTTCTGCTCCTCAGCGAGCTTCTCCTTCTCGCGCCGCTTCTTCTCATTTGCAATCACAGTGCGGTCATATTCCTTCTGGCTATCAGATCTGGCCACTCGGTGACCCAGCGCGTTGCCAATCATCCTGGTGGCCACTGCAATCTGTTTCTCGGGACGCTTAGAGTAGCCTGAAGAGGTACACGATGCACTGCTGGTGGTAGAGCGGCAGCTGGACTGGCGAGACACGTTGGGAGTTGGAGGAGGCGCGCGGATGCCGCTGCGGCCGACCTGGTGCTGGTGGTGATGCTCGCCCTGCTGGTGGGTGCTGGGCTCAGCCGGGGGAGCAGTGATGGTTGTTTCTGCATCACTAGCTTCGTCTTCGGAGGAGAGGTCTTCGTCTTCCCAGGACTCGGCGATCTTGTTCAGACGGACGCCGCCGCGGGGAGTGGGCGTGTGGGAGTCGATGTTGGTGCCTGAGCCTAGCTGTTAGTTACTTGCAACTAACTAGTTTGATATACTGTGCGCGTAACCAGCTAGTGATAACTATCATAAAGACAGCGTGTTAAGATCAGAGTGATAGACGCACCTGGACGGCCTTCAGCCATGATTCTGGTCTTTCTGGCGGCGATGCAGAAGCAGGGGTAGATATGTAGATGTGGCAGCGGAAGGGAGAAGTTGGTACAAGGAGATGAAGCAGAAGCGCAGTAGGGAGACAACTAAATAACCAACCCAGCAAGACTTCTTCCAGCTTCACTTGGGCATCCAGCAGCCAGTGACTCTGGGGTTATCTAGCTAGCTGGTGATATCTCTGTCCTCTCTGTCCTGTCCTGTCCTGTCCTGTCCTTCACTATCTCGACTGGCCAGCAGTGCTTAGCAGCAGCCCTTCTCACTGATAAGCAGCAGTGATGACATCAGTCCGCTGGCTGGTTATCTCCCTAGAACCAGCCACTAAGTTAACTAACTAGCTAGCTAAACTGTGAGTTAGTTAGGTATGCCTAGGTGACTGACTAACTGGCTGGCTGGCTGGCCGGCTAACTAGCTAAGTAGGGTTAAGGGAAGAATAAGGGGCAACGGATGAAGGACCAAAGAGGCCCTGCATCAGCCCAGGATGACATGCAGCATCCATGCCAGGGAGTGACTGTTGAAGAACTGCTCCGTTCCGGCCTCGAAGTCTTGTCTCCCTTCTCTCTCGCTCTCGAATATAGGCCAGGATGGAGATGCGCTCACCATCCCACCGCGGAGAGCCGGCAGTTCTCGTAACCAGCTCATCGTCCCAGGCTCTTCAGGGCCGATCAACAAGCTAACTAACTAACTAGGTAAATAACTAGTTAACTCGGCAGGTCATCGTAACTAGTTATGTATCTACGTGCTGGTTCTGGAGAGCTATCCGCCTGGCCAACTGGTGGCTAGTTAACTAGTTATTTACCTCGGCCATTCCAGCTTCTGATATCCCGTCGTCAGTAGAGACATACGGGGGAATCATGACGGCCACAGGTCCCAGCAGCGCTTCTACTGGACGAGTGAGCCTGTGGGGTTCATCTTCTGGTCTCCTTCATGTTTGCTTTTAGTTGTCGTGAGACTCGCATTCTTCTTTCTCTGATCTTCCTCTGCTTCATGGGCGGACTCTTCATGCCTACGGAGTGGCTGGTTAACCATGTATATGCGGAGACAACAGTGGCTGTTTAACTAGTCAGTTAGTTGTACTGCGACTGACTCCATGATGGCCCCGAGATGGACGCAAAGCTCCCCTGGCCGGCTATTCGGCGGCCAGAGTCCATCTCGCTCTCTGCTACAGAGACATGTATATTCGTCTTCGCCATTCTCTGCTTCGGCTGGATCTCGGTCATATGAAGACACGCTGCCACACTTGAAGATAGGATCTCACACCAGGGTTCTCTTCCAGGGGTTTACCGGTAGGCTCTCACTCTGACTTCATTGACTACAGTGATAAATATGTACATTCTAACAGGTAAACAGGCAAACAGGTACTTGAATTCTGCGTCTAGAACTAGTGAACTGGGAACTAATGAAGTACAGGCGACGGCCAATGTCAAGGAGTCACTGGCATGGGGGACAAAGATTGTTGGAGGCGTCAAGCCTGGCGTCGAGGGTGAACATCTAGGACTGCCCATTTTTCCGTCAGTTCGCGTGGTAGGGTTTCTGGCTCGCTTGGATATTAGATACCTATATACTAACCGTATATAGGCACAAGAAAAGGCCAAACCAGATGCATCTGCAGTATATGTGCCCGGGAATCAGACGGCCAAGGCCATAGAAGAAGCTCTCGAAGCAGAAATACCCCTTATTGTCGCTGTGGCAGAGCATGTTCCCATCCACGACATGCTGAAAGTCTGTTCATGCATATTTACCCCCTTATCTAAACGACTGATCTTGCTAACACTGCCATAGATACACTCCATGCTCAAAACACAGTCTAAATCCAGGCTTGTTGGCCCAAACTGTCCCGGAATCATCTCTGCCGTCGGGAAATGCAGAATTGGGTTCCAGCCTCTTCCATGCTTTGCACCGGGCAATGTAGGCATAGTAGCTAAATCAGGCACGTTGGGCTATGAGACTGTTGCATCTACGACGAGAGCCGGGCTGGGACAGAGTTTGTGTATAGGCATGGGCGGTGATGTGCTTGCCGGTACAGACTTTGTGGATGCGCTAAAGGTGTTTGAACACGATGATGATACCCATGGTATTATCATTGTGGGTGAGATAGGTGGTGAGGCGGAGATGGAAGCTGCAGAGTGGATCAAGGGGTATAGGAGGAGGATTTCAGAAGCGAAGTTTAGGTTTTTTTTTTTTTTTTTTTTTTGGTACTCAAAAAGAATGAATTAATGGCCCTGGCTAACGATGTGTAGACCAATCATGGCGCTGATTGGCGGTATCGAAGCCCCTCCCGGACGAGTAATGGGCCATGCAGATGCAGGTGCCTGGACAGCAGAAGGTGAACCGGATGCCAGAACCAAGATACAGGCATTGCAGTCTGCGGGGGTGGTCATGGTCGATCACCCGGAGAAGTTTGGTGAAGGTATGAAGGTATTGTTGGCTGGTGCTGGTAGGAGACCCAAACCGGTATGTTCCTACCCTTATATCCAAGCAGATACAATCTTAATGGGTATATGTAGACACTATCCGGGCCTTCCTTGCAGAGAGCATCATATCACACTCTTACCAGGCGTCCACAGATAATCCGACCATCTAAGCCAGCAAGGTCTCCTCAAAGGAGGATGCTATACATCAAATCCTCTGATGCATTCGGACTTCTTAAAGAACAAGACATCTCGGTCGTCGAGTCAAAAGGCCCGGCTAATTTCACCCTTGCCATCGCTATAGACCGTAAAACGTGCGGTCCCTGCATAACAGTAAGCAACAGCACAGATGGCAACACCCACAAGTTTCCATTCAACTATCATGCACGAAACTTTGACATTGCATCTGTAAAAGATACTCTTGGTTTCACTAAATATCCTTCCATGGCCACTGAGTCCTTGGAGAAACTTCTGCACGGGTTGATGAACATTTTTGTGACAAAGGAGGCATTTCTGCTCGAGGTGAAAGCTGGTATCGCTCCTGATACAAATAATATACAGATCATTGATGCGCGATTTGGGTTCGACGACGCTGCGTACCGTAGCTCAGGAAGACAGGGCGATATCCATGTCCTGCGAAATAAAGCTGATGAGGTTCCTGCTGAAGTTGAAGCAGAAAAGGACGGTATAGTGTACATCACGTACGTCGGCTCATCTACCATAACACCCTGTTAAACCCAATGTTAACACTGCATCTAGCCTCCCTGGAGAAGGCCGTATAGGAACCCTTGGTAAGAGGCTGCCAGTGCCGTTCTCCATTTTGGTTTAACTGACTATCGACCTAGTAAACGGCGCTGGCCTGGCCATGAACACCGTCGATGCCCTCACCCTCCACGGCGGAAGCTGCGCCAATTTCCTCGACACCGGCGGCAAAGCTACTGCAGAAACCGTCAAGTCGTCCTTCCGAGTCATCCTATCTGATCCGCGAGTAAAGGGCATCTTTGTCAACATCTTCGGCGGCCTTACCAAGTGTGATATGATTGCTGAGGGTATCATGATGGCCTTCCGTGACCTGGGTATGAAAGTCCCAGTGGTAGTTAGACTAAGAGGAACAAACGAGGAACTCGGCCAAAAGATGGTATGTCTGTCTTCTTTGCGTATCCGGAGTCATTATTGTTTACGTGCTTTGCTCACTCCGTCTATAGATAGCGGAGAGCGGGTTGCCTCTCCACGCCTTTGACTCTTTCGAGCAAGCTGCAAAGAAGGTCATCAGCTTGTCAAAGTAAGATATAACATTGACGTATATACCAGAATATATGTATGTATGTACTCCGTAGCTCCGTCTCAAAGAACAATAAAAAAGGATAAAAAAAGGGGGCCATCAAAAAAATCGAGGGACGTGGGACTCGAACCCACAATCTTAGCTTAGCTTACTACTCGCAGCAAATGAAAGTAGGAGAGCTACGCATTACCCTTCTGCCAGCCCCTCTAACGCTAAGTAAGAGGGCGCCCTCTTTCAGCCCTTAACCAGGAAGGTCGCCGGGGACGGCAGAGAGCCACTACTGACACCAGCCATGCGCAGGCGGGCATATAGATGATCAAAGCAAGGCCACAGAGAGAGCTTCATACGCTGCAGGATTCTGCCTGGCCTGCTCAAAGGCTCTTTAGGCAAGTTACATCATCTAAGCAGGTGGTAGACTTCGCTGGTCGGAGAGAAAAACGCCGGTCCAGCCTTGCCGCGGACCTCGGCATCCTCGTCTGCTGAGTAACGCTAACGCCGACTTCAAGTTTTGCAGTAGTGGGCCTGCGGACAGCCTCCTATCAAACTGTTGATAGCATAGCGGACATCTACTGTTGAAAAGCTGCTGCCTGGGACGTTGTTGGGGGCGAGTGGATAGGGACACAGCTCAACCTCGAGAACGATGCTGGAATCGCGGCTCTCCCGGCCTCCCACGCTCAACATGGCCCGTCTAGCCCTCGGGCTAAGGCACAGCTGTTGCTTATCCCCATTGAGGTACCAGTTACTTCGACAAGTCCCTGCTTCAGCCACATCCATCCGGGCTCCAGTGAGGGCCTATTCGTCTGGTTAGTGTTTATGTACATATCTCTTTCCCCTACGGTCCGCTCCCGGCGCATTTTTATGCCGTTGGGAAAACTTTGCCATTTATAGTCTTCTTATCTATACGTACATACATATATATATATACACCTTCTTGCGTATTCATTTCACTTACTTGATTTTCTCTCCAGGTCATAACCAGACTGCATCCCAAGGCGCTTATTCTTATACATATCCTCCTCCTCCTCCTCCTACATATAAAAAACGGTCACTTTTCCGTCGCATACTCGGTTTCTCGGCCATTGCTCTCGGCTCTTTTCTCGTCGGCGCCATGACAAGCCCGGAACTTGTCGACATGGGTAGCGAGATCGCTTCTATGCGGCAGCTTTCGAAGACTGAGGTGCTCTACATACCCCCAGATGAGATATCCAAGGAAATCAATGACTACATCGACACACATCCTCTAGCTGTTTCGCTACGGGGCGATGCCAGATACACCGAATCTCGACCGCATCTAGAACAGCCTTCTATGACTCGTGCGCATAGTCTCACGGGCGGTACATTGACAGGTCCAGGCCGTATAGTCGTGCCTCCATTCACCTGGAGCACTACGGACGGCTCATCGTTTGTCTCGATATTTTATCTGGGTTCCGACGTGTGTGGTCACCCTGGTATTGTCCACGGTGGACTCTTGGCTACTCTGCTCGATGAAGGGCTTGCAAGGACATGTTTCCCCGTTTTGCCAAATAAGATTGGTGTCACGGCAAATTTGAATATTGACTACCGTGCCCCTGCACCAGCCGGAGAATTCTTTGTCCTGAGAGCAAAGGTCACTAAGGTCGATGGCCGTAAGGCATGGGTGGAAGGCTGGATTGAGGGCCTGCCTAAAGATGGAACCGACCCTGTCAAGTACGTCGAGGCGAAGGCTTTGTTCATAGAGCCGAAGATGGCTGCAGTAAGTTCAATCATTTTACCACCGTCAGTCATACTTGTGCTGAAGCTAACATGTTTAAACAGCTACTTACCAAAGGTCAAAAGGACACCTCTGCCAAAACTTCACCCTCCATCGCCCGTTGATACACATATATTCCCCGTCTTTTAGCTCCGCGTTTCCCATTCAGGTCTACATCCAGAGATAGATTTCTTCCTTCGCACTTTTCTTATGGCTTAACTTGTTAGAAGCTTTGGCGACGATAGACACGTGTCACTTAGATCTTGTTTAATAAACATGCCACCAAATGTACCAGTAATAAATATAATGTTACCTCGATGCTTCCTCTAGCTGTCGATGTAGGACTCGGTGCATGTAATATCGCGGTGGAGCCAACCTCGGCTCCTCATTGGCTCCAGCACCACCGAGCTCTCACCTTAACCCAACCTATTCCTATCTATCCGTCTAACAACATTCAGATGTCAACAACCACCATCGCTCACCATTCAACCAGCTCTACCTTGCTCAAGGACGGAGTGTAACTATTCAGAGAGCCATCAACCCTCTCTGGCCGTTCTCCTTATGATCGCGCTTTCGGCCCGATAACCACCAGCCACACCGAATAACACTTCAAGCCGTCAGAATGTCCAAACAAGCAAGATACATCCTCCTCTCGCTACCAAACTCCATCTCCCCTTCACATCACCGCGATGATGCCCTTGAAGCCATACGCTCGATAGTTGCAGACAACGGAAATTCATTCCCCTTCACGGTACCAGAGTTCAAGATCGGAACCCTGGACGCACTCGTACAGCAGGCAGATGAACTGGGTAAAGCTGAGGCACTTTGCGAGAATGTCGTTAGTAAAGTGGGAGATGTGCTTTCGAGTGTATTGGAAGGCGATGAGGCGCAGATATCGAGGATGAAGATGGTCAATGAGAGTGCGTTTCTGTCTTTGAATACCGGGCGGATAGGTGGGGTATGAGAGAAGGCCTGGCTGACGAGGAACATAGGACCGCTGGATCAATACCTGCAATCTTTCTCATGGAACAAGGTCAAATACAGAGCTGACAAGTCGTTGGCAGAATTGATTGACCTCCTGCAAAAGGTACATGTCCGAGATGTCGATGTTATGGACGAACGATAGCTAACTTCCTAATCAGGAAATCAACAGCATCGACAACGATGTACGATTGAAATTCACCCAGTATAACGGCGTCAAGTCAAACCTGGCTAGTCTACAGAGGAAGCAAACGTCAGTCATGGTTTATGTCTCTGTTCTGTATGTTTTATTTAGATACTAACATTTTTATGCAGAGGAAACCTTTCCACCAAGTCCCTGGCCTCAGTTGTTGATCCTAGCCTCCTCGTTCAAGACTCAGAATACCTAGAAACTCACCTCATTGCACTCCCCAGCCGAGATGTCAAGGATTTCCTACGTGCATATGAAACTCTCTCACCCATGGTCGTTCCACGCTCGTCCATACTACTTGCTTCAGACGATGAGTATACTCTCTACGGCGTGACGACGTTCAAGAAGCACAGTGCAGAATTCATCCACAAATGCCGCGAGAACCGATGGACGCCGAGAGAATACAAATACGTCGAGGACGGCGGCGAAGAAGAACGCAAAGAAATCGACCAAGTTGCTGGCGACGCTAAGAGGCTGTGGGGTGAAGCTCTGAGACTCGGAAAGACTGGATGGGGCGAAGCCGTGATGGTGTGGGTGCACATCCTTGCTTTGAGAATGTTCGTTGAAACCGTCTTGAGGTACGGACTGCCGTTGGACTTCACATCCGTCTTGATTAAGGTACGTACCGCAACCCCTTCCCTGTACCCTTTCCCTATATCCGTACACAAAGCTAACCTCCCTCATTAGAGCACGGGTAAGAACGCTAAAAAGATCAAGGATGCGCTCGACTCATCGTATTCTTACCTGGGCGGTAATGCGTTTACTCGGGACAAGAAAGGTCGGGTTCGGAAGGACGACCCGAATGAGATGCAACAGGTGGGCGTTCCCGACACGGCAGCCGAATTTACAGCATTTGTATATTATGAGTTCGAGGTAGAGTAAGTTAGTTGGTTGTTATCTTGGAACTCGGGATGGTACATAGCTGCTTTGCTGTTTTTGTTTTTTTGTCTACATATCTCTACTCCTATGGAGTAAGTACCGTTTAGGCTATCTATGTGGAATTTTAGGCCGTCCCTTTTTTATCACAGGCAGATATATACGTACTAGAATTGGATAAAAGACCATGAGTCTGCGATCACCGACAGTTTTGATAGACTTCTATGTCATTTGATTCGCTATTAGTGACACAAAGACCGTTGGACTCAATTTGATGGATAACAACAGTCTTTCAGAACCACCTCCTCACTACCTTTTCCCACATAGCAAAAGAGCTGCAGTAATGCCCAAAAGTACAAAATCGAAGAACAACTGCAGACTTTTGGCCCTTATGCCCCTGTCCTGTCCAAAGATCTTGATGGCCAAGGGAGATCAGGGGAGGATCGCCGAAGGAGAAATATCACCAAGCAAAGACGCTGTTTCGTCCAAGAGCGGTAAAGCGGATACGGGACTCCAAAGGCCAGCAACACAAGTCTGCGTGTGCTCCCTCCCTTGCTATCATCAAGCTGTTATCCGATCCTCAAACTGAAGCCGAAACCCTGTGTTGACCGAACACTTTTTCAAACGAAACACGTTTGGTCGCCAGTTAAGATCATCGTCAACCTCAACCAATCAGTGACTTTAGACTCATCTTGATGCTTAGCAAACCTGTCAGTCTAGAATTTAGTCCTCCCCAGCTCCATCGCACGGCGGAGCCAAAGCCCAGGCTGGCAACTGAGCTGCTTAGAAATATCTGGGTCCAGAATTAATAACTCGCTTGGCCAGATGTACTGGAGACCCAAATTGGCCACCTTTTTCTCTGCACGGCTGCTTATATACGGGGAGCGATGAGGAAACGTTTCAGGATGTAACCAGCAAGGTTACACGGTTACGAGACGGTATGCCGAGTCGGGATCCCTTTGGCGATAGAAGTTGATACCCAGGAGCTGAAGAGTGCTGAAGAATGAGGCTCCGTCGTTGTCTACAGACGAGGGAATGGAAAAAGAGATGAGCCGATTTACACGCTGTTCTCTGGGTACAAACCCGTACTTAGGGAGGCTAAATTTGGTTGAGAGGAAAACTTATCGCTCCCCTATAAGTGCTTATTATTTCCATGGTACCGAGCGAACCATCATCAGGAGGGGCGTTTCATCCGCCAAACTCTGCAACGTCCTGATCTTCTTATCTGCGGCAGATGTACGAACTGCTGAGGGACCCGACCTGAACCGTCCCTCTTGTCACCCAGCTAACCTGTAATCTTACCCCGGGAACCGGGATCCCCTTATTACCCGCATCCGAGTTTATCCTCCACACCTGAGAAGGCTGGATTGATATAAATCTTGACACATCCAGCTGTCAGAGGAGAATCATATCAATTCTTCACATCACAAACCTCTTTCAGGACTCGTTTTCAAGGCTCATCTCCCTTGTCACAACAGCTACAATGGCCGCGTAAGTTCACCACCATCTGATTCTTGAATCATGACGAGCTAATTCGCCTCAGCTTCCTTCATTTCCACGAGTCTGAATTCACTCGAGAGACTCGCGCTGCCCACATCGGCCAGAAAGGTTTCACCGTCTGGTTCACAGGTGTTTCTGGGTCTGGAAAGTCCACCATCGCCGTAGCGCTTGAAAAAGAGCTCATTACCAAACGCAAACTCAACACCTACCGACTTGATGGGGATAACATCCGTTCTGGTCTTAACAAGGGTCTAGGCTTCACTGAAGCAGACCGAACTGAAAACATTCGTCGTATCGGCGAGGTTGCCAAACTTTTCTCCGATTCTGGGATGGTCACCCTTACTTCCTTTATCTCACCATTCGCCGCCGACCGAGCCGCCGCTCGCAAACTGCACGAGCTTTCAGATGCAGAGAAAGAAAGAGGAGAAACTCCACTGCCGTTCATCGAGGTTTACGTTTATGTACCCGAGAACCTCGTCGAGAGAAGAGACAAGAAGGGCCTAGCGGTATTGGCAAGCAAGGGACTGCAGAAAGGGGTCACTGCCGTGGGTAAGAAAGGAGATGCAAGATACGAAGAACCCAAATCTCCTGAGATACGCATTGACAATGACGAAAACATGACCATTGATCGCGCAGTCAAGCAAGTCATAGACTACCTCGAAGAGAAGGGTCTACTCACCAGTCCACCAGACATTGAAACTGCTGAAGCTGAATCCGCAAAGCGCGTGAAGGAAGGTCAGGAAATCAAAGAAAAACGGCTTTTACGGGAGCTGGATGAGCGGGATGCCGCTCTCAAAGCCGCCAAGGCTTCTGGTGACAATAAGGAAATCATCGATGCCTATGACCGAGCAACTAAGGCCGCTGGAGCTCTCAAGGCCTTTTACACGACTAAACATAGAGTGACTGCGGAGGCTGCCGAAGCCGGCAAACTCGCTGAAGATATGCAATCCGAAATTGCTAAGTTGGCCGAGCAGGTGGCTACCTACACTGCTGGAACTGAGGCTCGTGCCGTCGCGGGCAAAATCTACAAGGCCAAGGTTGAGGCTGATGATGCTGAGGCTCGTGCTAAGGCTGCTGCTACGGAGGCCGCTACTAAAGCTGAGGCTCTTGCGGAGGCTGAGGCTGCTATGGCAGAGAGTGATAGCACAGTTGCTAACTAACTAGTCGTCTATCTGCTGGGTCCTCCCCTGTTTTAGTCTGTTGTTTGCTGTTAAGATATCCTCACACCTTTATATATAGAGCACGGAATAGTCATGAACGATGAACATAGATTTTGTTTGTTTTATTATTTGGGAATAAACTACTGGTTGTTAAATTGCCCAATGCGACTCTTATTAAGTTCGTTCCTAAAACTAAACACGCATCCGTGTTATACATATGTGATGGTTATAATAGGTCATCCGTTGGATCATAGGCAGTTAACCTGAAAAAGCAGAGATATATACTTCTATATACACACCTTTTGAAGCCGTATCAATTCGCTATGTAAGGCCTTTGGAAGGCTAATTGCTACGTTTAATACAATACACAAGGTATAAAATATGAATACTAATAATACGCAGGATGGAATTTCATGTACTAAACCATACTTTAACCTCTATAGAACTTGGATTCGATCCATGGCATAGGAGTAACAGTAGCTTTGCGGAGTTTCTTGCGGACAAGTATCCCGACCTCCGTACCCTTCTTATGAAGGCCCTGCTTAATGTATCCCATGGCGATGTTTGTACCACCAAGAGTTGGGCTGGGGAGACCAGAAGTAACCACGCCAACTTCGGTTTTACCGTCTGCAAGGTCCACGATGACGGCGCCTTCACGGGCAGGTGCGCCGCCCTCAACCGTAAAACCAACTCGTCGCCGAGTGAGCGTCTTGGCTGGGGATGCAAGTTGTGGGAGAATGGTGGAAGCTCCATTGAATTTGGATAGGGGAGAAGATGGGTCCCGTCTGTCTTTACCAACAACCCAGCCAAGACCAGCAACGGGTGGTGTCTCGGACAGAGATATATCATGACCATATAAACACATACCAGCTTCCAAGCGGAGAGAATCACGAGCGGCCAGCCCTGCGAGCTTGACATCTGGGTTGGAAATGAGGAGTTCGGCAACACGGCGAGGTAAATTGGCATCAGAATCAGTAGGAATGGAGATTTCAAAGCCGTCCTCCCCGGTATATCCTGTCCTGGAGATTAGAAGACGTGATGGGGTGCTTGATCCATCTGGGAAGTTCAAATGGAGCTGGCGGCATTGACCAAAGTGAAGGGTGGAAAGATCAGCATCGGCAGACGATTCTTTCTTGATAAGGGGCTGAAGTGCGTTCGCACTTGCAGGACCTTGAAGTGCAACTAGGGCCCTGTTATCAAGTATAGTCCAGTTAATAACTGAGTCGCGTTTGGAGGGATCTTGAGAGTTCCTGAATGCCTCGATTTCTTTTGTTAGAAACTCGAGGTCTTCCTTGCGGCGACCTGCATTTGTAACGAAGTAGAAAGACTCCGGTCCAAGGCGTGTGACCACAGTGTCGTCAACAATTCCACCAGTGCTTTCGTCAAGAAGACAGGACAAGGTAGAATGGTTATCCTTTAGAGAGTCGAGGGAGGCAGGAGTAATCTTCATCAACAGGTCTCGTGCACCTGGGCCGATAATGTGGTGTTGTACCCTGAGTATGAAGGATGCCAGTTAGACAATCAATTTCAAAATATAACACGTAAGTAACATCAATGCACTCACATATGGCTCACATCAAACAAACTGGCCTTCTCTCGCGTCCATTTGTGACTCTCGACGTGGCTCAAGTCGGCATATTGTAAGGGCATGGCATACCCCGCGAAAGGGACCATTTTGCCCTTGTGCTCAACATGGAAGTCATAAAATTGCGTCCTCTTGATGTCAGATTCAGCTGCAGAAGAGCTGGAGGCGAATCTCAGCCCTGATGGTTTTCCCAACGTGCTGCTGGCAATCAATGGCTGCCGATATCTCACAGTCGGAGCTCCGTGAATTTGGCGGTAATGTCGGCTCAATTGAGCGCCGTGGGTAACTCCGCTCCAGCATCTGGAGCTCACCCTGGCCTGGAAGACACCGCTTCTAGCGAACTGGGGTACTCTTGCGATTGTCTTCATGGTGAATATTGAACACCGGACTTCTGGAATCAATACAGGGCAAAGTTCGGCAGCAAGAATGAAGTCGGAAAATGATCGGAAAAGTGACGGGGAACTTTCTAATAGCCGGTCACGTGGAGATATGAGTTCCTGTCGGCCGATTACCTAATAGCTCTGTCACATGACCCATTTTCGGTCCGAACACCCAAAGCAGAACATCCATCGATTACTTTTCAGCCTCCATTCAAAAACACCAAAACGCCTAATATCCTCCTGTAGACCTCCATCGAACTCTCCATCGAATTTCCTTCATATATATAGGCTGTTGAAAGTATACATCCCCATTATATGATCTTGCAGGATAGCCATGTTATATACCCAACTCCGTGAGCAACCACCATGGAAAATAGAACTGCCTCTAGCTCTTCTATAACCCGTTATCCTTACAGGAAAAGGCCTTACCGACCTTCCCACTCTGGTAATTGAGCACGACACTGTCAACTGATGCCTAGATAGGTTGTTAGTTGACTGTCATTTTGAAGGGCTGTAGCTGATGCATCTTACATATGTTCCTGGGCCAAGGAATAGCAATCCGACGCCAATGAGGAAGATATTAACACCCCATCCGATCCATCCTCGTATACTTCGGGGCTTTCCTGGCTTCTCTGCTTCGTCTGCAGACTGCATTCGTAGATACGCCACTCCCCAGAAAATGAATCCAAAGAACGAGTCAAAAAGCGAACTCATTATAGAGAGAAGATCGGTGAAGAATGGAATAACCTCCGCCACGATGAAAGCAAGTATCCAAAGCACCGCCAAAATTCCAGCCCAGGAAGACCAGCCGACCAGAGTGTGTTCTGTCTTGTGCCGAGTGTTGTCGAAAATGCGGAAAAAGATGAACCGTGCAGATACCGATGCATACAGCACCCCAAGGAAAATCAATGTAGGTAACATGAATGAAAAGGCAACCTTCTTGTATACCTCATTACTGAGGGAGCCAAATGCCGGTGCAGTCATGTATTGCGTGCCTGTAAAGACATAAACAATCGCACCCACAATACTGAACACGATTATTTCCGCAATGGTGACCGCCCAGAGAGCTTTGCTAAAATCCTTTGGGTTTCTCATCTCAGCGATAAAGCTTGGAAGGGTGATCTGGCCGATGAAGGTATAGCTGATGTTTAAAAAGGCAGACATTCCCGCAACAAAGGTCGTTCCAGGGAGTGGGAATGCTGTGACAATAGGCTCACCCCCCATTAACTTGCCGTCGGGGCCTTTATGATTGGGGTCGGGGTTATACTTCGCTGGGTGAGCCTCAAGTCCGGCAAATATCATCGAAAGGAGAACCGATATAAATGTGAAAAAGGCCGATAGAGTCGCAAGTTTCGAAAGCGTATTGAAAGTCCTTGGTATGGAGCAGACAAAAGATATCACAGCTGTCACTGCGACAAACACCACAGTACAAGTGCTATGATTTGTCATTGTGTTCAAGTACTGTGCACCGACCAAGCAATGTAAGCCCTAGAGACACATGTTAGCAATAACGCGAGGATGGCCCAGGAAGACAAATCACACCTGGATGAAGGTATTGTTGAGGAGGAACATGATGGCCGTGAGATACCATGCTGCCCTAGAACCCCAGAAAAGGCGTTGGCCGATGTCACAGATATCCCGTACATCCGGATGACGTAGGCAATATTTCCTGAGTATACCAGCGATTAGCGAATGCGAGGCCCCTTGTGTCCTGACAAGAATACTTACCAGATGACCAGGGAAGTATATAGAACCATTCCGGCGACCACAACTGTAAGTATCAGCCCCGGGACTAGGCCGAGGACCGAATAAGAGTATGGAAATGACATGATAGCCAAGCAGATGTACTCTGAAAATAACAGAGCTGCAGTCTATTTCGGGAATATTCTGTGATTAGCACCCTAACCACAAGAGTAGAAGAGTCGGTTTCGAGAAAAGTGACTATTCGTCACAATGAAAGCGGTGGGAGAAGTTTAGCAAACAAACCTTCTGCCAACTACAAGTCCTATACTTGATGGCATGGCCTGCTTCCAACTCAACCTGCTTGCTCACACTCATAGCCGAACTGCTGTCATCTTCGCTGCTGGAGGTTTCATCTCCAACACCACCGTACCCGCCACGGGCAACAATTTGCGAGGGCCCCCTAGCATGAGTAGGCAACGGAGAAGTATCAATTGTCGAGAGGTCCTTGCTGACCCCATGTTCTGGATCTAACGCCATTTGATAAATCTGATGGTACGCTTCCAGCGTACGGGAGCAGGCAGGGCGGTGGCAGCGATTCTTCGTTCGGCTGATGACATGTACTTCAAATTTTGCTCTTTCTGTGATAGGTAATAAATTACGGATGAATTCCTCTTTCCGGGAATGTTAGAAATTAACGATTGAACTTTCTTGAAAAGGAGATATAAGCTCGTGGTCGCAATATGTCCACGGGTAGGTGGTAGAAATTTAATTCCGTTCGGGTGAAATGTTGGCGGCTATAAGGTCAACGGATTACCCCAAATATATATAGCAGGATGGCAATTCCATCGTTTCAATGTGACGTCGTAGCAGCGACGTGGAAAAACTCATATCCCTGTGCTAGTAGTGGACACCCTTTGCCCCCACCCTGAATTCCGCAATCAGGAAGCGTATCTCGATCATCCATCGCCGGGCATCTAATTGGATATCATTGTTGTTAGTCTCCCGCATCCTCCCATCCTGGAGCCCCAGTTTCCACCAATGAGAACCGTGCGAAGGATTTCAGTCTTGGCATATGCTTGGCAGACGCTTGACACGTGGGGTCGGTGATGTCATTTTTTCCAAGTGCAGTTTAGCGCGGCGGCCCCTCCGTTGGCAAGCCGACAAGTGCCAAGATTTTGGGGAAGCTTGGTTGTCTTGACCAGTAGCTTATTGGTACCACAACATACATCATGTAAACAGTCGGCTATTCGCTTGTTTGCATATCTACATCTACATAGCATTTGTCTTTCAAGTTTCTATTAAGGCGTGTTGTTCAGATTTCTGAGCGAATCATCTAAAATGTAATAAATGATACAAGATACTACTCCGTTTACACTCTGGAAACATAATTAATATATTTCCATTATTTTGTCACTGCTCGTATTGAGGCTTTAATGGGGCGACAAAACAACGAAGTTTTATTTTCCCATAGAAGAAAGGTATATGAGGGATACAAGTAAGCTTCAGCCTTCACACTATGATGTAGTATATTCTTCAGCTATCCTATAGGTTATTTTACTTCGTGCCCAGCAATTCCCAACCTCGTTTGCCACCTCTGGAAGAGAGTTCCAAGGCTAGCTCATGATGGTGATGCAGATATGCAAGATCTAAAGGTGTTTGGCGCGCTGGAGTTTTCAGGTTCAGCTCCAATCCTTCTACCTCCATTAATATCTCAAATAGTTCTCTATAACCTCTTATCATTGCAATGTGCAAAACTGACCATCCTTCCTCAAGGAGCTGCACATTTACATCTGCACCGTGCTCAAGAAGCAATTTCACCATTTTATATGCATTAGAGTCATTACCAATGCACTCAACTGCAGAAAATAGAGCTGTGGCTCCTATTTCGTTTTTCTTGTTAACATCTATTTCCTTATTCGAAAGTAGGGTAGTCATGATATCCAGTCGACCGTTGTTCGCCGCCAGAAGTAGAGGGGGTCCGATATGGCCGCACAGGTTTACGTCCACTCCATATTTAATCACTAGCAAGTCAACCACTTGATATTGCTGTGCTGCCGCTGCGTAACAGAGCGGTGTTACGCCGAAATATTCAGTTGACTGGAGGTTCACCTTCTGTGTATCCGCCAACAATTCGAATACTCGGGTTTTAAACAAGCCTATCGATATTAATAAGGCCGACAGTCCCTCAGGAGTTTGTGTCTCCAGGTCTACTCCTTCTATACCAATAAGGATTTCAACCGCCTGAGCATCGCTACTCTTTACAGCACGCATCAAAGCCGTTATCCCACGATTTCCCTTGAGGTTGACTTGCACCCGCTTCGTTTTCATCAATGCTTGTACTGTTTCGCAACCTCCCTTTGCTGCAAAGTAGAGTGGTAGGTCTCCGGAGGCATCTTCGGAGTTCACATCCACGGCTTCTTCGTTCCCCAAGATTTCAACCACTTGACTGTGGTTTGAGAATGCAGCATTGAAAAGCGGTGTCCTCCCTTCTGCATCTTTAAGATTAGGGTTTACCCCTTTGCAAGACAGCAGTGTTTTGACAACGTTAACATGCCCGTTGCTTGCGGCCCAATTTAGTGCCGACTTGCCTGCATTATCCTGCAGATCTGGCTTACACTCACTACTTGTAAGTAGGAGCTTTACCACCTCCTCATGGCCGTTACCAGCTGCATAGGATATTGGTCTTCTTGAATCAGCATCCGCCTGATCTAACATTGCCCCATCAGCTAATAGCAGCTTAACGACCGCTATATGTCCAGCGGCAGCTGCCCAAGACAAGGGCGTCCTTAAAGCATTGTCTAGATTGTCTACTTTTACCCTTTTCGTAGAAAGTAGAAATCTCACGGCCTCTATATTTCCATTTTCCGCTGCTATAGACAATGGTGTTTTGCCATCTTTGTCCCGAGCATCTGGATCCACTCTTCCAGTGAATATAAGACTGTTCATAATGGCAATATGGCCTTGGTTTGTAGCATAAAATAAAGGTGTCCGGGAGAAGTTATCTGCAACACTTGGAAAGGCGCCTCGTGCTAGAAGGTAGTCATACGAGTTGATATCCCCCATTTCTGCAGCAAAGGATATTGTACTGCGGCCATCTTTATCTCTCCATTGCAGGGCCGCTCCATACTCTACCAGGGCTTTAACGACTGAAATCCAACCTTGTTTGGTTGCCCAGGAGAGCGTCTGTCCTCCGTTTGCCCCGTCGCTAACAGCGGACTCCTCATCTAGAAGAGAAAGCGTAGATGCTAGAAAACCATCACCCACCGCCTTTAGAAGGAGCGCTCCCTTCTGCTCAATATTTGTCATTTGACGAGTGGGAAGGTCGGTGTTGATGTGTAGAAGCGGATTTCGCTTCGTATCGAGCTTTGACTGTAGGATTGTTAATCTTGCTCCAAGTGTTGGGACCATTTCCTTAGATTTCGAGTAAACGATTTCATTGACAGCGATACCATACGAGTTGACTGCGTCAGCAAGCGTTTGCAGATTCCCTTTTGCCGTCAGCTCTTGATTCGCCTTTCCGTTGGAATTGTCCTTGAAGTTTGCCATTCCCTCCAACCGAGGGCTGTCAATGACCTTTAGGGGGACGTCTTCTTGCTCATCGAGAGTGTCAAACATCTTAGTAATGCCGTTCAGGCAAAACTCAACTTCTCCCTTCAATAACGCTTTACGATAGCACTCACACAAGGAAAGCGTGAGGAGGCGACGGCGATTGAGATATTCAGCATCTTTTGTCCTACCATCATCATGATCCGAGGTATCTTTAAGCTGTTGGGTATGCAGGAGAGCCCATGATAGCAACTTTTCAGCCTTTAGCCACAAACTGTCCTTGATGTATGCTTCTGCAGTTTTCTCTGTAGTGGGTAAAACTTCAAGAATAGTGGGAAGATTTCCCTTCGCAATCAACGCTGGAAGAGTACAGATAAAAAAGTCACGATCACTGCCCAGTTCACATCTCATGAAAGCGTCTTGAATCCGTGAGAGGTTGGAGTTGACAAGGGTCAGGTCACCGGAATTCTGAACATCCGTTCTTCCACCTATACTCTGAATTACATGCACCATTGACGTGAAAAATAAGGAATATATCTCCTGGGCACATATCTCTGGCAAGGTTGTCATGTGAGATGCGGTTGCCAGAACCATCGAGCGTTTCGAATGGAACACAGAAGGGACATTATGCCGACCAAAGAGCGGGCATGTGTGCTGATTCAAATCAACTTCTGTTTCTTCAATCCTGAAGTTTCTGCCGTTACTCCAGAGGTTAAAGGTAGAGATTAAATTTTCCCCTGCGGAAAGTTGTGGCTTCATAGCAAGTATGCGTTTAAAGCATGCACCTGGCCTTGTGTTAAAATGCCGGAATGACCACAGCCATAGGCCTAGAACGGCCTCCAGCTCGGCTATATTGGCGCACCATCTGGACATACCACCCCCGTCATCACCGATTTCACGTTTTAGCGATATGTAGATATTCCCACTGGTATCTGCACCTTTGTCTCCTTCATTAAGGCTGCAAGGGACTGCCCAAAACATAGTGAAAGCTGAGTCCCATCCCTCTTTCCAAGTTATGTCGATGGTATCAAATATGTTCATTGTGGACTCAACAGCATCAGCTAGCCTTTGTGCAATCGCTCGAACAGGGACAAGCTTGTCATTCCAATCGTAGGTCATATCATGTAACCTGGTTCTATACATAAAAACTTTAGCCAAGTTATCCGGTGCCTTATCCAATGAAGCGTTTGATTGCGCGACAACACGCCATCTATCCGGTGCAGACTGGAGATAAGCAGTCCATTTCTCAGGTATAGCCACATAAGGGTCCCACCAATCTTCGGGGTTTTGGCATTGTATCTGCTCAGCTTGTAATTCTCCAGGTTCACAATTATCTAGTCGAAAGCCAGACAGTATATAATTGTCTCCTTGGTGAGCAGACATTCTTATAAAGTATATATTTTCAGCCGAATAGATACCGTTTTCGGCGGGGACCGGGTTGATAACTTTCCAGCGTACTTCGGAGAAATGTACAGCTGGATGTTGAATTGGAGAAACAGTCCATTTCGGTCCAAATTTATTTGCTCCGTTTGCTCTACTGCCTGATTGGGGTCCAGCTATGAGTTCAAGGGCAAGCCAATCCAACTCATGTCCCTTGTATAAGTCAGGGGAATCAACCAGGTAAACTTCTTCGTCACTTAATCGGTTCGCGCGAAGCACTGAGCGTACTACACTCATTACTAGCGTCGCTCCCAGTTGGGCGACGGCTACTGACGAGTGGCAAGCTCTGAGGCCGAGGAATTGTAGTAAAAACCCGAGGGACGTGCAGCTGATTGCAATCCACACTCCTATCCCGTTGTATTTACTCTTTTCCGTCTTCCACGATGTGATATACCGGGTGAATTCACCTTCTGGGTGTGTGTATGCAAACGAGTCAAATGCCTGGTCCCCAACGAACTGAGTGCCCGGCTGAACCCAGTACAGCCGAGATGTGCTTGCCTTATCTTCCTTAGGGTTCCTTTCGAAGACCCGTTCCTTAGTGCTGCTCTCAATCAAGTGAGCGCAAAGTCCCGTTCCAAAGCATAAAAGACAGGTACCAATAACAACCAGTGGAATGGCATAGTTATCTTGTAGGTCTTGTTTCACGTCATTGAATTTGTACCTAGCAATTGTAGCCCATACGAGAACACTTGATTGCACCAGGCCACCAAATATAGCAGCGGCAGTAAACCAATGCCTTGAGCCTTGTTTTATCCCTACGTTTAGGGAAAGATTCGGGTTTATCGCAAAGTGTGTGTCATCCCGAGCAGACTCGTCTTCTTCATCGCTTGGGCGTTTGCCCACTTCCCTCCACTCTTGGTTATCTTTTTTGAGATAGTCCTTGAACGGGTAAATTCCAGCCGTGGCCTGAGAATTAGGATTATCCGAATAAAAGTCTTCAATTGTTGCATTCCGATCATGTACGATTTCCAGGAGTTTGGGGCGTCCAAAAACGCGGGCAATGCCTCCATTGTTATAAAGCTCACAGACTTCTCGACTGGTAGAGGAGCAAAGTTTGGCTTCAGCATTGCCAGCTCCCTCCTGGGCTCTCCCGATGAATGCCCTCAGAGACGGTGTCCCGCAGACCCGGATTGCCGATACTATTGTTGTGATAATACCTAGAGGTGCCATCGAAAAGATGAAGATGTCCGTCTTGGTCAAGCATTCGCTTAGATATTGTTTAGTCGGCGCTTCACCAAAGAGGGAGATGAGAGGCGCTAAATCTGTAGCCAGATTGTTTGAGAACTCATCCCACCAGCTTCCTACCATTGTAACGGGGAGGTATATTTTCTTTGAAGGGTATCATGCATTGAAACGGAACCATGTAGCTGGCGGAGTGCTCCTTGTAAAGGATATCTTTCTGAGACGTTCATGACCTCCTACACCGACAGGGTAGGCCTTTGGTTAAATATATCAGCCAACGATTTAGCCGCCGACACCGAGTCAGACGGCCCAAACTGACCGGGATGATCGACATGTCGAGCACGCGAGCCTGATTGGAAGAGTCGCTGCGGCCCGATTGAAAACGGAGCAGGGGTTGCCCGATACAGCTCGCTAATTGAGAGCCAACCCACAGAAACGAGTGGCAGAGGAAGTTATCTTTTGACATAACTACTCCGTAGTTAACGACCCACGGGTTAGTAGTATCATAGCATCTGGCTCCTGGTTACATACTCTGTACGGGGTAATAGCCCTGTATTAGGGTGCAGGATCAGTGTCATCTCAGGGGTGGAAAATGCTGGAGACAGTTAGCAAGCAAGATGGTGGAAAATAATAACCCGCTGACTCTGACTAGTTAACAAGTTAGTTAGCCTACCGAGGCAGTTAGTTAATGGATCCGTCGTCAAAGCCGGCGCCCAGCAGCTTCAGTTCTTCCGCGCCGTCGCACGAGCGCGGACGGTTCCAATGCTGATATCTATTTAATAAACATACCTAAATTTGATAAAACTGTTCCCGAATGCTATTATTGTGTCAGAGACGCGGTGTTTTCTGCTGTATTAACTAGTGATGCCATGCCCTCAGCTATGTCTTGTCCATATTACCCACCGCATATCAGGACATTTAGGCTATATTCTTCTGAGTAGTTGATATATTCTGCTAAAGAGCAAGATGGGCTGGAATAGTTAAGCCGCTCAATGCTCAATGGATAGGGATCATCATGGCAACTAAAGGGGAAGGGAGAAGGTAGGAAAATAGTTAATCGCTGCCGACGAAGATCAATTTTTCCGTCGGGATATTCCTTTCCCACTCCTCCCACGTCATATATTCCCGATCTTCTTCCGCTGCCTGGGCGTTATACTCATAGAATTTCTTCCACTCCTTCCAAGGAACATTTAACTCTTCAACTGGTCTCCCTAGCTCTTTTGCTAGTTTTCGATACTTCTTAGCTTCACTCGGCGGAATTGGTACCCCTTCGGCTGGATCATCATCCAAGTCCTGCGACATAGGTCCCGGCGATGGTTTCAAGATCCCAGCAGCGACTAGTCTTTCTCTTTCATCCATATCCTGAGTCAGTCTCTCGATTTCAGACCAAAATCTCGGCTCCAAATTGTCCTGAAGCCACTTTGCGTCTTCAGGGCGCTCCCGGAGATATTTGAGCTCCTTTTTCGTAAGACCCATCTCCTGGTGAAGGGATGATCTGACAGATTCACGGAAGGTCCATTCCCCCTGGCTTTCGGGTGGTGGGCCTGAAAACGGGTAATACTTGCAGAGTATGCGCCGTACCTTGGAGGCTTGCGCTATCTCGGGCTTGCTTTCGCTAGATTGCTGATGTCAGCTGCTGACTTCAACAGATAATTATTCAGGAAGAAGGGCGATCGAACAGAGTCTGCCCCGTCCACTCGTATGACAAAATAGGTATGTCTTTGTCGCCGGAAGCTTCGCCGTAATCGATGAGAAAGTAGCATCGACGGTTGTCAAAAGCAAAATCAGCACCATACGAGTGCCATCTATGTCGTCTTGGATCCAGGTCACAGTTCCAGTGCTTCTGGCACAGTTTGTTTAGAATGAAGTAACTTCGAGGAAAGTAACCTTTGCCAGGGACAAGGTGAGTGAATGTCTGCGCCAGGATCCGCACTGGACCAAAATCTGTGGTTGAATTATGTGGGGTATCGTCATCTGTCTCCATGGTTGGAGAACAATTGACACTCCAGTAGCTTGTGAAAGACGTCTGGTTTGGTAAGAGAAGTATAAATTAGGGTGATCGAGGATGAAACGGAGAAGCTAGCTGTCTCACCTGTAGCTAGACGGCTATGCTCACTAATCTTTTTCGTCCCACGAGATGGTTAGTTACAGCTGGCCGAGTGTGCTACGTCGGTGCCTAATTGACTAAATTTAAGCGGGATTTCTCGGGAGCTGCAATGCAGTGCTTAATCACCTTCAATAGTTAGAGAGTTACAGGCATCGAAAAACTTATAATTGGTAGCAACGACATCAAGAGCAACAACTACAGTCATGATTCATTAGTTCCAGAGTTTGTGGCCCAGATATGCTTTGATATATTTATATATTTTATTATATTGGGGGCATACCTCAACAGTGTGAAAGTCCATTTAGATGACACTGCTGAGGCCCTGGGGATCGGGATATTAAGTGTATTGTAGCATGAAAACAGGCATTCATAATGGGGTCTATGGATACTCTTCTTGATGCCCTGAATGCGAAAGCTGGAAAGAATGGGGCTGAGATCGTAGATCCTTATCCTTGAGTGGGAAGACGACAATGATAGTTAGACAGGAGTACTCTCTTAGCACTAACTTCCCTCGCAAATCTTGTTTGCAAGACCCCCTAAAATTTCATCAATCTCCTGCTCATTCTCCAGTAGTTCGTATCGCTTATCGTTGGATCTGTCAGGGTAAGACTCCAGCATTTGCTGCTCAAAATTGAAGGAGTAAAAGGACACATGGCTGCCAACAGCACAGATACCGTAAATGGTCCCCGAATACTTTTGCTCTGCACGCACTACTTTCAGGTAGTCCAACAGCTGGCTGGTAATGTCATTCCAGGACGATGCACTGATAATGACCACCTTCTTAAAGAAGTCGCCTTGCACGCCATTTCTGACGCTTAGGATTTTGATCTTGGCACGGTTCCTAATCTCCTCTACCAGTGATCGATTCTCCAGCTCTATTCCACACAACCTGTCCTGAGTAAAGTATAGAGGTAGAACATGGGCCCAAAAGTGGTTGATTGGAGTTTCTTGGAAACCGTGCTTCTTGATTTCCGAATAGTACAATTGAGGAACAGGCTTGCGTAGGTACTGGCATATCATTAACACATGAGTATACAGCAGATTGAAAGGTATCAGCTCACATATGACATTATTATCAATGGACAAGTAATGCAGCCAGCTTTATGCTGTTCGTCTTTTGCTCATCAAAGGCTGCCTGTTGCCTGTTGGGGTCGCTTTCGCCAAGAACTTATTATGTAATTCATTAATAAGCTTTCGTATTATAGTTATCCCGTCGCCGGATCACATGGCCCGGGCCGTCCTCACCTGCCCCACTCCAGGCACGAACCAACCACCAATATCTTAGATCTGACTTTCAAGTTCGAACAAGTGAAATGTCCATGACAAAACAAGTAGGCCAAAATACCAAAAGTGACAATTCCAGCACTACTGTCCGTTGAGTACCTCCGAGGTCCGTGGGGAACACTCCCCAGTACTATCTATTGCCGGCCTGGATTGCCCATCCTGGCAACACCTTCACAGAGGTCCCTCACTCCTGGAGGGGATAAACAGCTCCGACCATCCAAAGACACGCAATACAACTGCAATATACTACTGCAGTTACTCAAAGTCATCATGTGGGGGAATTTTGCTCTATCTCTTATCACTTTTTGATTTTTNTTTTTTTTTTTTTTTTAAAAAAAAAAAAATCCGTTGCCTATTCTGGCAAGTAATAGCGGGCAAAGCATGACTTTCCGAGGCGCCCTGGAATCCGTGGTATCGTTTAAAACTTAATAATTCCGAATTGTTTGCTATAGGGTTGAAGAGCCAGCGGCAAAGAATGTAAAACTGGATTGTATAAATGGCGCCTAGACTTAGAAATATTCTAATTTTGACGACTTGTGGTATAATTAATCTGGGCTGTCTGAACTTCAGCAACTAACTAAATTGAATAAGAGTATTTTGGAAGGTGATTCGGCGGGAGTACACCGATGTCGTGCCTTGCGGGTATCGCGAATGACATCTGACGAGGACAGGCATTCACATTTATGCACAGCTAGCTGTCATTAAAATTATAACAACTCATCTCCCTCTGCGGCTTATTACGTATGTAGATGACCTGTCCGGAGTATACTCTCTGGGTTGCTGGAGGAGGGTCATTCTCTTCGACCCTACTGGAGAAGCATGGCGATGACAGCCCTGCAAGGGATTTTTGTGGCTTGCGGTTCGATCAAGGTTTGGAACTAGTTACCCCACCACGGGACGGCCCCACACACCAACTATAACTTACCCGTTTGCCCCTCATGCCTTGAACCTTTTTGACATGATGTACATATTTTCACAACATGCAACATACGATCACGATCTTCACGTACGAGATATATCAACAAAATGCATGAATGCCCAAAACCAAGTATTTTGATTGAAGATGCCGGTCCAGAATTGGTGCTAGATTTGGGGTCAACTAGCTCGGAGAAATAGTGCTCCTGTAGACCTGACGGAACCTTACACGCAAGTTTGAAGCTACGAGGAAAATGAAAAATCACTGTAGAGGTTTAGAAGATATTAACATGCTGTGCAGCTTCACGGAGCCCTTGTAATACATTGCATCTGTCAAGCGGCTTGGGCCTCTATATAAGAATGTCTGCGTTTTCAGTCAACACCTATCAAACTTGATATGCCACCATTCTACCCTCAATCTCCATTCTGTTGTCTATTAAAATTCTCGTCATTCAACTCTCACCATGTTTGATACCACAGCAGCGCATAATGAGCTTGATACTATCCATCAGATCCAAAATGCGCTGGTGGAGCGTCTTAAGCAGGAGCGCACCAAGGGACCACGCGCTATATCAGCCGCCATAGACAATGGCATGACTTACCTTTACAATCTCGCTGTATTTGTGCATGCAAATTTCAATTCTCAGGTGGAGAGTATTGGGTCCACGCCTCCAAGCAAGGCCCTCTTCCAAAATGTGAGAGCAAGTTTTCAGCAGGTCCAACAAACTACAGCGGGGACCCTGGACGACTTAGCTCGTATTCAAGCCGAGGTAGGCGGACTGTGATCCTGTTTTAAAAATACCTCTCTTGGCGACTGACCTTCAAAGAGTATCGACCTAAGCTCTACCCGGGTCGCAAAATTACTGGCAAAAGTCCAGGAAGCCAAAAAGTCCACCGAAATGACGCTCAACGACCTAGGTACAAGGATTGCGGAGGCGTCGCAACAAGAGCAAACCTGGATTGAACAGGTGAAGAAAAACGAAGAGCTGCTGAAAACCGCCGAGGAAAAGCTCCGAAGCGACGAGGAAGCTCAAAGGGACACAAATATTGGGGTATGTGGCACGGCTTAGTATTCTGTCTAGACGTTGTCTTGCACTCTAGTTACTGATCATGATGTTATTATTCTAGCTCAGTATCCTTATACCATTTTGGGGATTAGCTGGCTTGATTGACCATAGAGCAGCGCCAGGGAATGTCTTACTCTCCTCTGCAGTTGGCGCCCAGAGGCAAGCGCTACAAGATGCGAATAATTCATTGATGTCTACGAGAAACTACCTAATCCAAACGCAGAAGGAAGAAGCAGACTACATTAACGAAAGAAACCAGCTGGATGTGCTTACGGAACAGCTTCAAAATTTGACATCCGCTATTGCTGTGACCGCAGGCAATATCAATGACATGGTTAAGGCTACCGGGCAGTTGAAGGAAAACGCCATTCACATGGTGCAACTGGGGAACAAAATGTACAACAACGCAACTATTGCGTCAGGGGATGCGTTCTTTCGGGATGAATTTGTCAACCCAATACTTGACCTCTGCTCTTTGGTAGTGATCGAGTTCAATGCTGCGCCTAAGATTGAGACGATCCTTGACGAATTGAAACACGCCTACGGTAACGACCCTATTCCCCAACCTATCAATCAGAAATTCGAGGACATTATGGCACGCGTCAAGCGATTTCTCCCCAAACAACTACCCGCTCTATAGTAGCTAGGATAGAGTCGTTAATTCAATATCAAATTTTGCTTTTTGACGTGTTCCTTCAGCCTACTTACCTTGGATCAAGATGAGCATCCCATTTCCCCGCTCGTAGTCGCATTAGCCTTAGAAAAATTATTCCACAAGCTGTTTGTTTCTAGAGGCTGTCATGCCAGATAAACCCTGTCCAGTGGGCCTAGTCTTGAATGCAGGAAGATGGAGGCATGAAGCGGGGTTCCCTCAGTTTGAAGGGCCCAGGGTATTTTGAATTTGGTTCGTTGCCAGCAATCTTGAACGGGCACTCCTATGCATCCGCGAAGCCAAAGTCCTGCCAGCCAACAAGAACTCCGACTCTAAGATTACGCTGCAGAAACAGAATATCAACGTGGCATCCACCATAGTCTTTGAAAGCAATCCCATGGGGTGTTATGACGCAGGCAAGCCTATGCAGTTCAATCTCCAACTTTTTGGAACAATGCGTCTCAATAATAGCGGGCTTAAAATCCTGTTTCAAACTTCTCGGCTCTGCAAGGTGGGTAACATCTCAATTTTGAGTCCTATTTCCAGGCGGATATCGAACGTAAGCCGATGATTCACTCCCCCAAATGGTAAGTGATATATCACGATATGCAGAGCGATAACAAGGCTCAACTCAGCCGAGGATATCCCGGAAAGACTTATTCCTCAACGTAATATTAAAGGAGTCTGCCGGTCGCCTGTTGTTAGGACTTTCAACCACCGCAAACCAGGACATCTCATTGAGTACCCATTGCGTTATATGAACGTTACTATTCAAAATGGCAGACGACCAAGAACAAGTTACCAATGCCGTCCAAATCCAAAAAAAGATGGACTATGGCTCGGGGCCTGGAGACCTCCCTGGTATGGCTGACATAGCCGTCGCTCAAATCAAGGCCTCAGCTATGTTCGCGCACCCATGGCAGCAGCTTCTGGGTTCCGCCCCTGTTGCCATCAACTCTACCGGGCTGGCCTTCGTCGCTGCGACGTCCGACACCGCAGCTACAATAGAGCTTGACCCCCCTCAAGGCGGTTTTAAATATCTCCAGTAAGCAATCTCCTGAAGCGTAGGAAGCTGCACAAGTTGATCATCCGCTCTCTAGCTATAAATCTCTCCGCGCCAATCTTACCGAATGCGGTGACATGGGCACAAAGGCCTTCCTGGCGGCTGATGGTGGAATGCTGTATATCCACAGTGTTGCTTCCATGATCCCCGATAGGGTATGCCATTGCCTATTCTATAATTTGGATATATAAATTGGCTAATGTGCCATTTAGGTCAATAGTATCATGGAAATCATAATCGATCCCATAAGCGCTCAGAGAATGCTCAAAGGGGCCCTCCTGAGCATTAAAAAGAGCGCTGACGACTGCTATGACAGGGCCAAAACGATTGACAAAGGGTTTAATGACTGGATGCTGTACGCCACAGAGCTGTATGCTTCCTGCGTGGAGAAAGAATCATCTGCCGAGGAGCAGTTGGCGAAAACAAAGCTTCAAATGCTGGCAGCGCAAAACATCTTAAAAGCTGACGAAATCAATGTCAAGAACCAGAAAGCCGCGACAAGGACATTCAAGAAACAGCTCCAGATGGCGTCAAACGTATATAAGAAAGCTTCAGATAGCTTCCCCAGTGGGTGAGTCTTACAATTTCATATACACCTACCATGAATCCTAGGATTCCCAGCCTTTATCGATGGATTAAGCAAATGCATTGTCTCGTGGTGTAGACACTGCCACCCCTTCCAATCCCCTGTCTGGATCTAAGCATCTCCATGCTTATCCACATCTAAAAGGAATTCGGCTCCTTTTACCTGTCTGTTGATATAAGGGGAAATTCAAGGTTTATGGTAGGCTGCCAGAAGAGCATAGCAAAAAGCTGACACAATTCAACAAAATAGGTGGGACCTTGTGGGCCAGGAAATAGTTGGTAAGCTTGGAGATACCCTCGTCACTGCTCTGGGCCAGTTGGCCACGGCATACACGGAGAACATGAACTATACTGCTCGAGCAGAGGAGGCAGAAAAGATGTTCAAAGACTTCAATAAGAAAGGAAATGACGGAAGCGGGAACGGGAATGCTCCTCTCCCAACCCCTGAACCAAAAGCAAAAGTCCCTCTGCCTCAGAATAGCACGGATCCTGCCTATGTGCAAATTAAGCCAGCTATCGTTTATCTGAGAGTGTTGTATTCCATCCTGTTCAAAGGAAATGGTGGTGGTATCAACTGGGACGAGGTTTCCACAACTACTGGCTCTGGATCAAAGTCACTCTTATACACTCTGCAGATGCTGAAGAATGCTCGCGATCAATTCATCGAAGTGGCAACAGACAAGGATCCAAGCGTCAAATTCAAGCAAGTCCTTCAAACCTCTATTCAGGTGAGAGTTAAACGGGGATCAAGCTTGTCACACCATCGTTCACCAGCTAACAACAGGCGGTCATATTAGATCGCTACCGAGGTTTATAATCTCGGTGGGAAGGGTAGCATGAACGATCTCCCTGGCCCAGATGATGCAAAGGTCAAGAAGTGGCAGCAAGATTTCAACCCTGTATACATTGACGCAAATGAGCTGTTTGCAGTGTCCAAAGCCCTTCCTGGATCAACCAGCACCGTATGGATTCCTGCTCCCGCAATTGCGAAAAGGTTGCCTAACTAATCGAGTTGATAGGAAACGGTTATGGCCAATCCCAATAAGCAACAAACTCAGGACCCCCAGATGGCACAAGGCCAGGCGGTACTCGAAGCCGCCAAAGATCGACTGCACACGACCCAGCAAGCCTATATTGCATCATCTAAGGCTTACCAGGAGGCCACGAAAGCTCTCACCAAAGATCAGAGTGATCTGGCGGCGGCACAGAACAAGCTGTTGCAGCTTAACACCGATGAAAAGAATCTTGTACGCCTGCCTGTTACTCTATTTTAGCCTGTCAGGTCAATTGGTTAACACACAGATTATAGACAGCCATAAAGACTATCCTTGAGGCATCTATCCGCCTCATCGCCGTTGTCAAAACCAGAGTCATGGACCTGGTTACATTTTTCAATTCGATCAGTTCGACCATCGAAGTGATTGTTGAGGAGGTGGTGGAGGAGTTCTTGAGGAAAATCCAGGAGAACGTTGCCAACAATGACCCGGATGGCGAATTGGATGACCTTAAGGTTGGCAATTATAACTTCACTGACCTGGCCCGTACTGTAAGTGTGACGTTGTGCAATGAACGGAAGAAACAGAAAAACGTGTCTGACAAGAAGATACTAGCAAATCTACAAGAGCGCCATCTTCATGCGAGCATATTTCGAGATATTCGGCGAGGTTGCAAAGATGTGGTCCGACCTGTCTATCGAAAATATCATGCCAGGTATCCAGCTCCTGGTTGGTATCAGCTCTGATTTCGCGGGGCAGATGGGCAAAGATCCCAAGGAATCCAGAGACAAGGTCAGGGACAGCGTCAGCAAACTTAACAGCTGGTTCGAAGGCGCAAAGGCCAAGATTGAGGATCTCGCCGGAAAAGTAAGTACCCCTATCTGGAGGACATTACGCCTAGCAACCACCCCTGGCATATGTATGATATCTTCAGGGACCCAAGCTGACCCCCTCGCTAGGAGCAAGAGAAGATTCTCGGCCAGATGGACAGCCGCATTCAACAGGTCGCAGAAGACACCACAAAGTTGCCACCCCCAGCACCGACAACCGCAGAAGCCATCAACGCCGGCGCAGGCAAGGTCACAGATGCAGCAAAGAGTGCAATTGAATTCAATGCGGAAAAGAACCCCATGGCTGTTTGGGTAAGGAGACAGCCCTAGGAAGTTGGAGGTTGGATGGTTGGACGATCTCTCCTTTCTTTTCATTGGTAGTTAGTTATTCCCTGGTATGAAGCTGTTGGGGAAGCGAGCAGATCACCACGGAATATAATTAGTTAAGGGAACTCTTGTGGTTGGTGACCAACCTCACTATAATAGGGCCTCGTTTATAGCTTGGCTGAGGGCAGTTAACTCAACGCCAAGTCGGAATGTAGTTCTTGCATAAGATTGTAGGCAATTGGTGGAGTTCAATAGTGAAGTCGACAATCCTCAGTTCACTTCACCGAAAACATACTTCCGAACAGCCTACAATCACATTAGCTGAGTAGTAGGTAGGTACACTGAGAGTCAGTCCTCACCGTACGAAGGACGTCCGGACGTTGCTGCATGCGAGTATAGACCCCTCGATACTGCTCGATGGTTTCGTTAACGACCCGAGTCTTAGTCGTTTGTCCATTACATATGGCATTCATCTTTAGCTCCATCTACACCTGTCATCAGCAGCCAGCTCGTGACGGGGATTGATCAAGAACATAATCTTACCTCCTTGCGTAAAAACGGCTTCATCAAATCAGTCTCGAAGCCCATATTCTCATGACCTTCAACCAAAGCGACGCCCAGCGTCGTGGGTATGAACTCCCGAACACCTGTGATAGCACCGCCACGGCCAGCACCGCTATTCCTGCCACCACGACGAGAAGCTACTGCAGTTCTTCCTCTACGACAATTTCCGCCTCTCGCTTGGGTTGGCAACTCCTCGGACTCTTCTTCTTCATCATGTCCATGCCGCGCCTGCCTTGGCTGAGCTCTGGCTTCGACGTATTGTCGGTCTATAATTGTGACAATATGGTCAGCCATGGTGGAATCGGTGCCGATACCATTCGCGTTCATTAGTGCAAGCAGGTCTGGTTCCGTTAGATATCCAGGTGGTGACGTCTTGCCTTCACTGAGCATGGCTTCGGTCGGCTCGAAGACCTCGCCTTCGATGAACGGGGGAAGTTCTTGGTTGCTCCACCGATCGTAAACGTAGACATCGAGATAGTTACGCTCCAATATTACAAGGCCAGATGCATGGAATGTTTCCGGTCCATAGAGGATACTAATGTCGGTTTTTGACCCCTGGGCGTCTTTGCTGCAGCAGGCCAGGAAGCGCCGGACGACGAACTCATGAACACGCTGCTCTTCAAGTGAGAGCGTAGCTGGATTGACGAAATTGACCGGGTGAATAGGCGGGTGGGCCTTATCATTATTATGTCCGTTACGGGGCCACGAAAAGCCTCCTCCACCTTCGACCAGCGCCGTTGCATAATCAGCCCAGCGGCCGCCCTGCGCCTGCTTCTGGACGAGGCCGCGAAGGTCCATACCCTGATCGAACTGATCTGTCTCGGTTCGAGGGTAGCTAATCCAGCCCTTTTGGTATAGCTTTTCTGCGAGCTGCAGAACCTTTTGACTGTCCATTCCCAAGAATCTGCTGCCGCACTTCTGAAGCTCTAGAGTAGTCAACGGTAAAGGTTTCCACTTGCTCGTTGGCGTGGTCTTGACCTTTTGGACCCGAGCATTCTGCGAAGTGAGACACCGCTCATAGAGAATAACAGCTGTCCTTCTGTCGAAGAGATGATTGCGGGCCCAACTAAAGTTCACCCATGTTCCAGCCTTTTGATGCATCAGTTTGATGCTCCAGAATGGTTCCGGGATGAAATTCCGAACGCGCCAGTAGCGCTCGACGATGAAGCCAAGCGTAGGAAACTGACAGCTCCCGTAGCTGATTAACTGAGAGGCTTCTGACAGATTGCCTCGCTGGAGTAGAGGGCGAAGGCTGAGAGTGAGGTGCCGGGTGAAGCTTGCGCCCACACGAAGATCAAGCTCGATGCGTGAAGCCACTGCGTCGGCTTGCGCTTCGTCGAGATTGACAGGACGGTGAGCGGCATGGATGATATGCGTCCTTTCGATGTTGGAGAAACGTGCTCTTACAGTGCCGCCAGCACGACCTAGAGCCTGGTTGCTTTGTGCTGCCACTGACCGAATCTCGGTGCCTATATGCTCGCCTTCGCGGTCGCAGTCGGTCCAGATAAAGAGCACGTCGGCCCGGCGAGCGTGCCGCTTGATATTGTCCGCGACAGGCTCGCCGTCGCTACTAACGAAAACCTCGATGGGGGCGTCAAAAAGCGCAGATGGGTCGCATGAAGTCCAGCTCTTGTATCGCGGCTCAAACTCATGGCCGAGGAGGTGGCCGAGCACGGAGGTCATCGTGACACTGCAACGGCCCCATTGCGGAAAGGTGTAGTCGAATTCGTAGTTCTTCACGTACGGATTGCCTTGGATGTTATGCTGCACGTCCAATTAGTTATATAGCTCGACTGGCGACTGGCGGATTGCGCGGGTCTGCTGCTCACGAACGGTCATCACTCGATCTCCCAAGTGGTTTGCAATCGCTTTGGCAATCGACGGCTTCTCTGCAACGCACAACACCGTCCTCACTCCCATAGCTGACCGTATACTCCATACTCCTCCCGCACGACGTGTCTCCGAACTTGCGCAGGCCTCAGACAAGTCGCTGTAGCCTCTCTGGCGAAAGGCCAGTCGACAATGCTCTAGACACTGTCTGCAGGCACTGCTTTGGATGGAGTCTCAGAGATGAAGCGTATTCTTAGCCAATAGAAATACCGGATAACTTCCTTTTTCCTCGAGAATGCTCGCTGATTGGTGAACTATATCTATTATTACCACCAGTCGCATGGTTTACAACCGACACAAATCTGCTGACCATTTCAGATACTCCGTAGTCAACGTTCCAATATCAAGCAATATATTCATCTGTTAGTCCTTCAGTTCTTGTGTATGTGCTACTAACTATGTTTTACATGTCCCTACATCTGGTGGTAACGGGGAGCTGTCTTAAAAAAAAGTATCCGATATAACTGGCTTTGTCACTTAAGCATCGCTCAGGCTGAAGCTACGAGTATGCAAACCCGACAAGCTCTTCGTGCGCCCTGTTCAAATCATCATTGACAAATGACCTTATCGAAAAACCCCGGGACATTAACATACCCAAGCTCGATAGTCGCCTGCGCTAACCTCCCCTGAACATCTCTGCCTCACCCTCCATCCCCACGTTCCCTGAGCCGACACTTCAGCACCTCAAGGCTGGGAGGTCGAGTAAACACATACCGGGCATCAATACTGGAGTCACCCTTTGTGTGCTCAACTCCCTCCGCGTCTATCTCAAGTATAACGATCCTATCCCTGCTAGATCCGAGATAGTCCGTCTGCTGGTTCTGCAGATCTGGCCGTTGAAAGTGGTGTGTTCCACAAAACCGTTTTGTGAGATGAGAAACGTGAATTTGCTCTGGTTGTACGAAGAAGTAGTTTATCCCTTCAACTTCGTTGGCTCGTGGTTTCCGAGTTGTGTGGGACACGCTGAGGGCATAGACGTCTGGAAGAGAAGAGACTTGTTTTTGGCAGAGCGTTCCTTTGCCAACTCCGGAGGGTCCGCATATTATGAGTGGCCGACCATCAGATAGTCGATCTCCTTGGGGCTTTGTTAGGCTATTTGGTATCACTTAGGTAAGGACCGGAGTGGCTTGCCAACAGACATGCTGTTCTGTATAAAGGGAGCCTAGCTCCCCTTGGTGATAGATACAGTAGACAGTCAGGGCGCGGGATAATAAAATGGCATCGTGTGATTTGGTGTAGGTTGTGCGTGAGTGACGCCGGAGCCAGATGGCAGTCTTCCGTGGACAAGCCTTGTCGCCCCAGCTTCGAGGTAACCAACGCTTTATATACATACATGTAGCCATTTACATGTACTTTTATTAGATCCTGGGGCTATGGACACCAGAGATGTATTGGACAGAGTCAAGATGCAGCATCGCGAACAACTCTCCATCGCCATGATACGATATCTCCATCCCTGCAAGAGAAAACTGCAGCTCGCGCCTAGTTAGTTATGCTCACGTGCCCATGGAAAAGAAAAAAAATCGCACACTCAACTTTTCAATATAAAAATCTTCATGAACGTGAGATAATCTGTAACAGAACCATTTACATCTGCCACCAGCAGCTCTAACATGTAGTACTAGTCTCATCCACAGCCTCGTCGGCCATCGAAATCTACAGAGTACATATCCTTGCGGCTCATTAAGCGACAAGAGCGCCAGAGCCTCCATCAGCCCGGCTAGCTCAATCGGTAGAGCGTGTGACTCTTATACTCTTATAGCAAGTTTATAACA